AGTAACTGAAGTAGTTCCTCAGGTTTCTATTTACCATCAGTCCTGGATTTTCTAGGGAAAACACACAAACCCACTCATATGGTCCTGGATATCCATTTGTGCAACAGTCAATCCCGAACCTAAATGGGGTTCTGCTCAAGCCTGAAAAGGTCTGTCCCTGTAACAGGCCAGGGTTGACATCTGCAAGTATGACATTGAGGTCAGAATACTGGCTGCAGGCAAGAAAGCCAGTTAATGTGAAACAGAAAAAAGTAAGGCCACACTCACCCACAGTGATAGTCATGGCTCTTCATGTGTCAGGCCCCCAACCATGAGGGCTCCCTGTGAGCTACCCAAATCATTGCACCAGCTGAATGGCCTTCCAAGCAGCATCACAGAGAACACTGCGGGAAGAACGCATGGGACAGCAAAGGCTCTTGCTGCTGCCAACAGCCAACGCTTGAATTTAATTCAGAAGTAAAGCCTAGTAAAAAGTTTTGTGTAAGAAAGAGATGGAGAGGAACCTACATTTTAAAAGACTTAGGAGGCTTACCAACCAATGATCATTTAAAGGGAGGAGAGCTGACATTTATAGGAAGGTGGAAATTTGAGTGGACAGTTGATGACATTAAGGGATTACCACTAATATTTCTAGGAGTGAAGGCCTTTCAGTCCTGAGACACCTGCCACAACATTACTGGACAATCACGATGACATCTGGAACATGCCTAAAAAGAACAGAAGGTGAAGGGGAGACAGACATGAAGGAAGAGGGGCTGGGAGCTGAGGAATGCTGGAAGCCAAATGGTAGGCACATAGGAGTTTATTTTACTGTTCTGTCTACTTTTTAATAGGTTATATTAAAAAATGTTAAGTTAAAAAAAATATAGAAAAGCCCAACTGATGCACAAAAACTTAACACAACAGATAAATGAGGAGTTGATTCCCATGACATATACAAGGATTCCCTGACATCTTTCTCCAGACTGTGTAAATAAAGGAAGCTTCCCCTACTGAACTGGCAATGCTGTTTTCAAAGCAATAAATATTATTTGATAAAAGATGTGAAGTAAAAAAGCTCATAAGCTCCAGTGTCAAACTGCTATAACCTAAATTGTATAAAACTGAAGACACATCACAGCTGAAATAATTTAAATCAAAGTGACAATGAGATTTGACTTAACAAAAGTTCTATTTACACATCCATTAGGTAAAGCAAGGTACACCCACTTCAAAACACATCCATATGTGAATGCACATCTGAGTACCGTTCAGCAAAAAGTTTTTAAGAGAACTTCAGTTTAATAAAGCTAAATGGGGAGAAGTGAAGTTTGCATTTAACATGGTATTAAACAAAACCAAAGGGCTGAAACTCATGTTTAGACAACACAGGTCACTAATCACTAGGCAAAGAAAACAGCCCACAGCAGGTGGCACAAATAATTCCTATACAAATGTTGCAAATATTCTGCTTTAAGGAAACATAAAACAATGGTTGACATATCATTTACAAATACAGAATATAAAAATGCACAGCCCCCTTGAACAAAAATTCAGCAAATGTTTTTAGATGACTTCCCTCACACCCACCCCCACATTAGGCCATTCTGGTGAATTACTAGCATCTGCCATTTCATCTTTTAAAAGAATGATGGGCACATGTGCTGTCCAGGGTGGAAGACAAGTGTCATATAAAAAGGGGCCGGAGCTGGCCAGGAACATTTGGACAAGTACGTCTCAAAAACTCTGTATTCTAGTTTCGCTTCTGTGCCTCAGTCTTGAAGATACAAAAGCCTCTTAGGACACCACATCCTGGGCCCAGCCTGCAGAGTGGTCACTTTTCTGCCACTGCCCTCAATATGAGGGAGCACTGAAAAAGGCTCTTGACTTAGGGCCTCTTCCCCTTTCTGTGAAGCAGAGGAGCCATCTGTGGTTGCGAGCGGGCAGCACACCAGGCATGTCCATCCCCAGTGCACTGCTGGGTAGTGTGGGTGGTCCTCCGGGCCTGAAGTAAGGCATTTCCTGTCTCCCAGAGTCCCGTTCACTTTCTCAGAAACAGCTTGGCAAAATCGGCATTGGACATCTTGGGTGCCTCGGTGGCTGGTGGGGTGGCAACTGCAGGAGCCGGGGCAGGGCCGTTCTCGGCCTGAGGAGCTGCAGCACTTGGGCGCTGCAGGGCACGAGGCAGTAGAGCCAGCTGCGTCCTTCCCTTCCCCCTCCTAGAAGAGCAAACACTGAATGGACCTTTTGAAGCAACAATTCGTGGCCCCTGGTTTATTTGTGAAAATAAGCCAAGACAGTTTTAAAAAAAAAAAAAATTAGAAAGAAAAAAAAAAAAAAAAAAAAAAAAGGATGAGACAATCCTTGCCTCCTTAATTCTGGCTATTATGTAAAAACTGCTTCAACAAACTTGACCTTGTTCAGTATCAACCCTGAGCACCAGTCACACTCAGAGGGGATCAGAGTGACTATCACCTCTCAGACCTCACCAGTCACCCAGCAATTCCGCTATCTCCTCCTCATCCCTATCAGGAAAAAAGCACAGCTTATGTGGATCATAGCTAGGGCTGCAGACTGGCACACACGTGGGTATGAGATTTTGTTTTAAACACACAGATCCAACTGGCAAAGGGGACTTTAAAATAATCACTGCCTTTAGTCCTGTCTGAAATAAATGACGAAGTGTGAATTGGCCAATACCAGGCAGGGGTCACTGCCTAGGCTTGCACCCTCCCTGGACCTGCTCTGGACACCTTGCTCCGGTGGAACCACAGTGATTACCACAAGAACAGCGGGTCTTGGCTTTTGTCCTAACAGGAAGCTAATTCATCCTGGTTAATCCCACCATGGTCCATGAACTGGTGCCAGCCAGGGTGAAGTCTGCACTAATCTACTGTGCAAGCACTTACGCTCCATATGTCTGCGGTGAAGGCATGGGGCCACCCGGTGCCTTCCTGGCCTCTGGCTTCTCTGGAACCTTCCTCTGAGGAGGGTTGCTGATTGCCACTTTGATGACATTCTCTTTGATAGTCATGCCGTCCATCTTCATCACAGCCTGCGATGCCTGGGATTCATTTTCGTACTCCACGTAGGCCAGGCCCTGGAAGAGGCAAGATCCAGAGCCAAGTCAGATCCTGCAGACCCAGGATGCAACCTCCTCCCGCAGGGCAGGCGCTAGGCCTCCTCCTGGAGACCAGCAGACCAGGACACAGCAGACGCCCCATCAACAGATTACCTTCCCCACCGCCGCATCCTCTGTCTACAGGCTTATTTCCCCACCCTCTTCTCCTTCCCTATTGCTGTTAATGCACTGTAACTTCAGATAACCCTTCCAAGTCCAGTACACCTTGTACGTGCTGCGGAATTAGAAAGAAAGAAGTAAACAGACAGGTGGACCAGTATAAAGCCAGCAAATAAACCAAGAGGTGGACGGAACACAGGGCGAGCAGTCCAGGTGCCCAGGTGAGCCCTCATGTTTCTGTGCCCTTACACTGCCCCCCCTCCCATTTCATCCTCTTTTTCTCTCCATTAACCTGGATAAAGGGGAGGTAAAGTGGGCAGTGGGTAGACAGTAACACAAAACCACTTACTACTCAAAATGGGGCACAAAAGGACTTAGCAGGAGACTGGGGGGCAAGAAGGAAGGACAGGAGAAGACGCACTGCAATGGAGGGACTCAAGGGGGCTGGCTGGGGGCCCCAGGGAAAGAGAGGCCTGGGACAGAGGAAGGAGGCTGCACAAGGTGCCTACCCCAAAGCCTGTGTGCTACTGGTCACAGGGCTTCCCTCAAGCCCCACAGCAAGGGGCCACAGTATGATGAATCCATGATCATCTATTTCCAAGTGCCTTATTCTTTTTAGTACAATTAACTACAAACAGGTTAATCTGACTCCAAATACAAGTAGAGCTAAGTATGCAGATCTTTCTGTTAAAATAACTTCTGTTTCTCAGCAGATGAACTAGGAACCCACCCTAAAGGTAAATAATCTTTGAACAGATACAGAAACGAAGTTTGCCTGAGCCTTGAAGAAAAGGCACAATCTGCTCTAACACTGACCTTTGGTTTGCCAGCCCGGTTGGTGACCAGCCTGAGGTCCTTCACGGTGCCATGAGCCTTACAGATTTCCTCTAGTTCCTCTTTAGTGCAGGAGAAAGGCAGGCCCGAGATGAACAGCTTGTGTTTCTCCAGGGAAGTGCTATACCTGAACACCTATAGGAAGGGAGAAAAAAAACATGATTCAAGGCCTGGCCCAGCTCACCTGACTCCTCTGACACTAGCCTTGTCCCCAGGAGCATGCCCAGCCAGGCAGACCAGAGCCAAGCCATGCTGAAGCTTGTTAACAGAGCCACAGGGGTGAGTCACTTAACCTCTCTAGCTTCCATGTCTTCCTCTGTAAAATGGCAAGAATAAAAGTGGCCAGTCACAGAGTCTGATAAGGATTCAATGAAGTGACATACATAAAACACATTTAGCACAGTCTCTTGTCACTACCAAGCACCCAGCGGCAAGTACCCATGCCATGAGTCAGACCTCAGTCAACCAGCTAAGGATGGACCTTGGCTCACAAGGAAGTTTAGATCCGAACAGAGCATAAAACTTCTGTGTATATCCTAAATATCACTGCTGCAGGAAGAAAGTCCCTAAAGCAACCACAGACACAAGGCATTCTGTTTTTCCATAAACCTACCTTAAACTCGGGGTTTTTGCTCTTATCCACACAGGGGGAAACAAACATCGGCCTCCCTTCCACACTTTTACGGTCCATCTCCAGCGCCTGAAGGG